AAACTCGACTCGATTTAAACTCGACTCGGCTTATCTGACTCGTGAGTTAACTCGACTCGTCCGGAACTCTAATTATTCCCAATATTTTTCTAAATGTCAAGATCTTCAATGCATATTTTCACATCTCCTTATTTTCTAATGTAAAATTTTGACGTAAGGGTCTGTTGCATATTCTCCTGTCTCTTCTTCCCAACATGAATATAAGTCCAAAGAGAACGTAAATGGAGTCATTTAAAAAGTTAGTATACTGGAGTGATAACTATTATAACTTTTTTTATTTTTACCATGTCTGCTGATTTATACACTAAAATTTACAATTTCTTGTTAAATGTTAAGGAAGAGGATATTACCGCTAGGTCTGTTATCTATTAAGAAATCAAAAACAATCTCTGAATATCTCAAAATAAGCTAAAAAGTATTATCAAGCGGGCTGTTGCATTTGTGAAGAATCAATATGATCGAGGTTCTTCACGCCATACTACTCTTCTCGAAATTTTACCAGAGGTAAGATATTTCTAAAGAAAGTAAAAAGAGAATTTATTTGAGTGATGAATAACGCAGACTGATACTGTTCTAAAGAAGAGAGTATAATAAATTAAATATCCTATTAGCCCACTCACAGGATTTTTTCCTCAGCAGTGTGAAGGGTAGTTAGGCTATAATATATGCTTAATTCAATGTGGTTATTTTAGTATTGCATAAAGTCTTTATTTAAGTATTAGAGTAGCTAATCATGCGAGAATAGGCTTTATTTTAATCTGATAGCGCATGCGTTTTTAATAATTTTATATATATATATTCAGAACTAATTAATTGTATGTCTGCATTAGTTTGAAATTGGTTTTAAAATAGTTTGTAGTTTACGTAACATCAGTGCGATAAAGATGAATGGAGAAAGGCCTCTTAGTTCAGATAAAATTGGAAAAAATATTAAGACGCTAAAGGGCAAACTTAGAAAAAATACATCACAGCTTTACTACTATTTGTTTTCAGATGTAAATGAGGTGTCTGTTTCTGAGTTAACCTGGAAGGATCTTCTAACCAACCAAGTAATTAGCAATGATTCAGATCTGGTGAAAAAATTGCCAGAATGGTTAAAGGAGTCTTTTATGGTAAATTCTTCTTTTTTTATTATACAGTCATATGCGAAATGTCTGGTTTGAAGAACTCCTTTAGCTAACGGCTGATATTTTTTGATCTTGACATCATTTAATTTATGCTATCATTAGAAACCAGTAGAAGATATGGTTCCTTCATCACTTTCACAAAATATACGAAAAAAATGCAAAGAATTCATGGCTAGCTTTATTGAGAGTGATATGAATATTTTATCACAAAAACTTTCGTATAATGGGGAGTGAAAAGAATCAGATGAGAAGCCTACAAAGGTCACATCAAAAATTTTGGGTTCTCTAAATGATTCATGGAATAATCCTGCATTTAGTTCTGAGTTCACGAAATCACAAAATGAAGGTACTTATGTGACAAACGTAATTGTATCTGCTATTCAGGTCACATTAAAAAGTCTTTCTTTAGGGAGGTCATCTTATGTCAGCACGTGAATTATAATATAATTAGGAAAAGTGATATTTCAAAAACTTAGATCGTCACTAATATTCTTCTTCTATTAGTACTGAACGCCAAAGTTCAGCTAGTACAAATAGGAAAGGTGAATAGGAAGATAGCCAAATATCATATTTGTGATGAAGCATGATGGAAAAAAATACGAGCTCATATATGTTGAAAGTTTATACTTGTCTTGCACATCACAGAAGGAAATTGATGATGAAATAAAATTATAGCATGAAACTAATGATGGAATGTATTGAGTTCATAAATTATCTGGGCCAGATAAAGGTGAATTCAGAATTATTGGAATGCAAGTTGCCAGACGAATAATGTGCTTAAATGTTCTCATTAGAGATATGGAAAATATTCATCGTTATTATCATCTTTACAAAGCAGAAATTCCTATACAACTATCTGATCTATCCCTTGTAACAAATTTTATAAAAACTTTACTGATTTTACGGAATATTTTAATAGTTAATATGTTTTTACTACTTAACGCACCCTTAGTTAAATCTAAAAGAAATAAAGGCAGTTCAAATGTAGATTCTGAATAGATAAGATTATATATGTAGTAAATTTATTATTATTTTTTCTGTATCAATAAAGTGACCCTAGTGGTTAATTATTATTATTTTACATATTCATTTATATTTTTTCGTGTGAGGAATGGAATGTGCATTAGATAATAAAACTTTTTTTGGCAAAAGTTGCTGACCATTGGTCAGGATGTCACGTGTTTTTTTTGGAGGAAAATTAACTGAGAGGCGCTTTGCATGAATTAGCTTGAGTACTTTTTTCCTTACGCTTCTGCCTTACCTCTATCTCCTTCTGCAGATTTAGTGAAGTGTCAAACCTTAGGCAGATTGCAAGAGGATTATCTTCTGGCCTAGTAAGATTAAATACAATAAATTCATCACTTCAAAGGTAGCTATTAATTACCATAGATGCATTTTTCATATTATCAGTATAACGGGTATAGTGCTGGCATTTTGTGTAATGCGTTATACAATAGGAAAATTATCACGTGAAGGCATAGTATTAATTGTGTGATGCAAATTTAATCAGTAAAGTGGCTTTTTAAATCTTTTCTATTATCAAAAATAATCTTTCCAAAAACAACAAAATGTCATTATATATCAGTTCGTCAAAACGCTAGCTTTAGCAGTATTAGCTCAATAAGAACAAGGACAAGTTCTGTGTAAGTAAATATATGCAACTATTACTCCTTATTTTTTTGCTAATCTTTCGGAAATACTCTTAGGAGTAGTGATGCGGTTCCAGAATGAATGTCAGATTGTTTCTTTTATCGAAACTTATGGTAGGACAAGGGAGAATTTAGCGAAAAATCAAAGTGAGAAGAAGTAACGTAAGTTTCTTTTCTTACTTGTTTGATGTTGATATTTGTTTTAGTAGCTGATATAAATTGTTATTCATATATATAAGATTACCTTATATGCTTGTTACGAACATCACCATAAAAGATTATTAAGAACGTACAGAAAAATTTAATATACATGGTTGTTGGAAGTGGGTAGAAGGAAATGTCACAATCTATGAAGTTCCTTCTATGCCACACGAAACTGGCATCGGTGCAATTGTCGAAGAAATAATGGATGCTTGTAGACCTGTTAAAGGAATACCTTCTCAGATTTATAGTATTGGATCTACTAATAAGTATTATGCTATAACACATTGCTCTGTTTGTGTGTGCATCGTATTAACTTTTATTTCTTAAAGAAACACGTGACAGAAACTGTGAAAAAGAAGCCGACGCGTTATTTCGTCCCACAAAACTTGCTGTTAATGCACCAAATGGGAGCAATGGAAATGTAATTTCTGTTCTTTTTATTGGTTTTAAACTTTTAAAGCTAGTAATTTTATATACCTTTTTTTATTTAGAATCGTCTTTGGCCAAATTTGGTTATGAAAGTAGCCTACACTGAAACATTAGATCATGTTGAAGAAGCTTTAAAATATTGGTTGAGTCCTGGTCGTGCCCACAATTGTATTATTGTAAAAATTGACCCAGTCCTCCAAGACCAAGTACCAGTCCGTATGAGAGTAAGCTATATTTATACAGTGTAATAATCATATTATTTGTATAATATTCTAAAGATTCTAATTCATTGTAGGCTTGACACTACTGTATATCAGATAGAAGAATGAGAAGAATTCCGCATAGAACTATGGTAATGTTAAACTATAGTAATTCGCTTTTCTGTTAACATATTAAAAATCTCTAATGTATGTATAATAATTATTAGTTTAAATTTGGAATCCAAGATGGCACAGGAGCTCTATTAAATATTGCACAAGGTCAATGCATCATTAACATATCGTTAAACTGTCTTTATCATGATTTTAAGTAACCTGATCTTCCTGCGCCTCCTATCCAACCTTAAACTCTCTTACCTGATCCTATTCTGTTGGACTTTTATTTTGTTCAATGTGCTATCAGAAAAATGTTTAACTTTTAGAGGAATACCCACAATATTGTAGTCTTTCCCTTTTTACGTATCATGCTAGGTTAACTCCGTTTGAATTTACCTTTTAACATGTACATAGTGTATGTTGTATGCTGTAATGTTATATGCAGTGGTGCGGAGTGTTTATATTAATAAAAAATAATAGTTACTTTATTAAGCATTTTTCGCCTACAATGGGCTCGTGATTTTTAACTGCGATTTACATGTATATACAGTAGCGGTCATAAGTATCCGACCGCCTGAGATCGTTCAAAATTATTATATAACTACCCCTTAAATTTTCTAGAAATATAATATAACACAATACATGATCACCTATAAATTTATAAGTGTCGATGATACAAAAAAAAAAAATTTAGATGATCATCAAACTTTCACTTGAAAAATGGAACTTTCTTTAGAGAAACGATATAAAATTGTCTTTTTACG